GGGGGAGGAGGAGGTGGAGGCGGCAGAGGCAGAGGAGGGGGTGGTGGGAGCTGTGGGGGTGGTGGAGGGGGTGGGGTTGGCACTCGGTTTGGAGCTGGCGGAGGAGGAGCTGGAGGTTTGGCCACTCGTACTGTTGCGTCTGGTGGTGCAGCGGGTGGTGGAGGTGGCTCTGGGGGTGGTCAGCAGCAGCAACAGAGTCGTCAGGTGCCGCTCTCGTCCCAGCAGCTTCGTGAGTGGGCGATTCGGCGTGGCAGCTCCGGTGGCCCAGCTCGCTGCCCGTACCTCCATCGCACAGGTCAGCCTGGAGCGACTTGCGGCCGCACGGACCACACGGAGCCTCGCCGCTTCTTTCGGCTCGACGACCTGTACCGTGCGAAGCATGGTGAGCAGCTGAAGACCCCAGACTGGTTAGCTTTGCGTAAGAAGGGCATCGATGTGTTTGCTTGTGATTGGGACGTGATCCATGCTGGCATGTATGCGATGTATGCTGCTTCTGCTAGTGTCGAGGATGACTCTTACTTGTGTGTGCCTAGAGCTGCCAGTGTAGAGGCTGCTAGTCTAGGTGCTTGTGATTCGGCTAGCACAGGTGCAGCGCCTGATGAGGCCTTGCACACTTTCACTCTAGACTTAGGCGCGTCTCACTGCTTCTTCCGCGACAGCACCACAGTCACACCGCTCACAGCCCCTGTCCCTGTCACACTAGCTGACCCCTCCGGTGGCCCGGTAGTGGTGCGTGGCTCCACTGTTCTCCCGTGTCCGGCGGCCCCTTCTGGCCTCCTTACAGGTTTCCACCTCCCCTCGTTCGCTAAGAACTTGGTGGCTACTGCTGTCCTCCAGAACTAGTTTGTCACTACCACTCAGCGTGGGGGAGAGCTCGTGGCGATCTGTACGGACTCACGCACTGGCGAGCACCTCGCCAAGTTCACTCGGAGGCCCGATCTGGTCTGTACACACTGACCACTGAGTCTGCACAGGTGGCTGAGTCAAGTCAGGTAGATGCGTTGGTTGAGGTAGCTGCGTCTTGTTCGTGTCGTCTCCTCACGCACCAGACTCTCCTCTGGCACCACCATCTTGGTCACCCCTCCTTCCCACGCATGCGTGGCATGCGCTACCGTCTCCTTGTGTCTGGCCTCCCCAGGTCCCTGCCCCCGCTCACGAGGTCGCTTGCAGCGCCGTGCCTTCCCTGCATCGAGGGGCGGCAGCGCGCCGCTCCTCACTCCTCCTCATTTCCTCCTACCTCTGCTCCTCTGCAGACCCTTCACATGGACGTGTGGGGCCCCGCCCGCGTCACTGGACAGGGCATCACATCTCAGTCTCCCGCCTGCTGTTAGTGAGTTCCCTGTTGCTGGCACTACTCCTCCGTTACTGTTCCCACCACCTGACCAGTCTCAGCCACAGTTTCTAGCTCACTCCCCACCGCCTGCTCCTGCTCCTTACACTCCGGTGACAGAGTCCCTCACTGAGAGTAGAGAGCATCCGTCATGTCATGCCTGTCCGTACTCGTCGTGCTGCCCGTCCTCGTCCTCCACCTGTCCCAGGCACGCACATCATGGCACTTCGTCCTTCCTCTGTTCCACAGCGTGTTGTCTTGCCGTCGCCTCCTGCGTCTTCTCTTCCTCACGTCCTGACCCTGAGTCTGACCTTGTTCGTGCTGTCAGTCCGACTGTCACTCATCTTCTTGCCACGGTTGTGACTGATTCTGCATTTTCGTCTCCTCCTGCGTCTGCCTTAGTCGCTGAGCTTGTTGACTTTGCTGCTCTGTGCCGCCTTGACTACGCTGCGAGTCTTGTTTTTTACTCTGCCTGTCCTCCGTCCGTTAGGGGTGAGCTTGCCCTTGGCTGTGACGTTCTTGAGGACAGGCAGTTTGAGCTGGAGTGCCTAGCGGCCGCTGCACCTCATCTCGCGTCCACGCTACTTTGCCCTAAGGGAGACCCGGATGCACTGGACATCCCGACCCCACGCACTTACGGAGAGGCGATCACGGGTCCGTACTCCTCTCTGTGGTAGATAGCCATGGACGCAGAGATGGCTTCCTGGAAGTCCACAGGCACGTACGTCGACGAGGTTCCCCCACCTGGGGCGAACATAGTCGATGGCATGTGGATTTTCATGGTGAAGCGGCCGCCGGGTTCTCCGCCTGCCTTCAAGGCGCGTTACGTTGCACGCGGGTTCAGTCAGCGTGAGGGGGTCGACTTCTTCCATACCTTCTCCCCCACCCTGAAGATGACCACTCTTCGGGTGCTACTGCACGTTGCAGCACAGCGCGACTACGAGCTGCACTCCCTTGACTTCTCGACAGCCTTCCTGCAGGGCAGCCTTCACGAGGCTATCTGGTTGCGCCGCCCACGTGGCTTCTCCGGGTCGTTTCCTGGGGGTACCCAGTGGATTCTACGGCGACCAGTCTACGGCCTACGACAGGCGCCCTGTGAGTGGCACGACACACTGAGGACTACACTTGCGGTTCTTGGCTTCGCTCCCTCGACTGCTGACCCTTCGCTGTTTCTACGCACCGACACTTCTCTACCGCCGTTCTACGTTCTCGTGTACGTTGACGACTTGGTTTTTGCTACTGCTGACACAGATGCTCTTGCCTTAGTGAAGGCGGAGCTGCAGGAAAGACACACCTGCACTGAACTGGGTGAGCTGCGGAGCTATCTTGGCTTGCAGATCACCCGGGACAGAGCACGCCGCACCGTCACCCTCACTCAGTCACACATGGTGCACCAGGTCCTTCAGCGCTTCGGCTTCTCGTGGTCCTCGCCACAGCCCACTCCTCTGGCTACTGGCCACTCGCTCTCAGCTGCACATTCGACCAAGTCCGTAGAGCCGAGTGGTCCGTAACCAGAGCTTGTCGGTTGCCTCATGTACCTGATGACGTGCACACGACCTGATCTTGCGTACCCTCTCAGCCTCCTGGCTCGCTACGTGGCTCCCGGCAGACAACGAAAGGTGCACTGGGAAGCTGCGAAGAGGGTATTGCGGTACTTATGCAGTACATCGAGCATGGGGCTCGTGGTTGGAGGACGGGGTTCAGTTGTTCTCACCGGTCACTCAGAAGCTTCTTGGGCTGACGACCAGACGACTCACCGGTCGACACAGGCGTACAGTTTCAGCCTCGGCACAGGTTCTGTCTCATGGAGGTTCACTCGTTCTTCTTCTGTTCTTAGTTCCAGCTGTGAGGCCGAGATCTACGCTGGGGCTATGGCTGCACAGGAGGTCCGCTGGCTGACCTGCCTGCTGACCGACTTGGGTGAGCGGCCTCGTTCTCCTCGAGTTCTGTACGTCGACAGCAAGGCCATGATTGCCTTGTGTCAGGACCAGAGACTGGAGCACCGAACGAAGCACATTGCTCTCCGTTACTTCCTCACGCGAGAGCTACAGCAGCGTGTTCAGCTTCGTCTTGCTTACGTGGCCACACAGGCCAACACTGCTGATGTCTTCACCAAGGCCCTTGGTTCTAGTGATCATCAGCGTTTCTGCACTGCTCTTGGGCTTGTGCCCACTCTGCCTCACCTGCTTGTCTCTTGATCTTGCCTTGCACTTCTTGACCTGCATGTTTGCGCCTGCTAGGTTGTGATCAGTGTACGGCAATTGCTTTTATAAACTCTGCATGTGAACTTGCTTTGTGGCCGCTTGCTTGTGCTCAGAATGCGTGGTGACCTTGAGATTCACCCTGAGCTTTGCTTTGCTTTGCGTTGTTCTCTTGCTTGACTGGTCTTGTGACCGCTTGTTGTCCCCTACTTAGCATATGGGGGTGTGTCAAAGTATGCACTTATAGTGCTGTAGTCTATACTGGGGTACACTGTAGAGGGGACAACCCTTTTAGGGTTTATCCTGCATAGTTCATCCATTCCTGTTTCCATATTCTAACATGAACCATACAAGGTTGTGAATAACAATCTGGTGCATGTTGATGGGGATGACTCCCTACCAATACACTTAGTCAGAATGACTCTCCTAGCGCCCATGACAGCACATTCTGACTGGATGCGCAGGTAGTGAGCCTTGTGGTGCGCCTACAATCGAGGACCGGATATAAGAGCAGTGATCCAAATGGCGTGCGCCTATTATAGGTTTGTTCTTATATTCGGAGGTAGACGGTAAATGTAAATGCAAAAAACTCCAGTAAACAATTAGTTGCTGGCCACACCTGGGGTAAACCTGTCTTTCTGAAATCGGCTGTATTTTCCCTGGCTCTTGAGAGCACTGAAGAGGTCAAGCTGCCCATATGACCAAATTGAAGTTCTTGTTGAACTATTATATTTTGTGTAGAATGTAAGTTTATGCATCACATGAGCCAGTTTCAACTGTATAAAGCTTTTATGCGGGCTCCTTACCAGCTTTATCTGGCAGACCACATGGATTTAGTGTTGACTTCCGCGACTAGCAGCTCAACGAAAATCGCCGAACTATTTCTAGCAATCAGATGTAACCAGCACTCATCAGGATTTCGCATCCAATGAGAATTGTAGCTGACATCCGTTCCATCTAAGTTCACGCTGCCCTTTCTTCAAACCCTCGCCACATATCTGAGCACGTCGAGCAAATCCACTTTCATTCCAAGTCAATTTGGTTAGCGTGTCCGTTACGAGTTACCGAGTTCATCTTGAGACGATGTTACCGGAATGTGCCTCGCCGTGGTGCTTCTGATTTGATTCGCAGAAATCGTGAACCAGTGTCACACACGCACCAACGCCACGGCCAAGTGAAGTCCGACACTGACCCACCTTCGCACCTCCAGCGTTTCAGACCATCCAGCCAGGTGCATCGCGGGGTGACAAGGCCCCAGCCAAATGTGCGGCTCCGCATGTGCGTTGGTGAGTACAAAACCAGCACTCCCTCACGCAAACCACCATCGACAATTCAACCATTCCAGTGTACAAGCATTCAAACCACTCGACTCGACATACATTGCTTCTACTACCGCTTGGCAAGCGCCAGCAATCAACCGTTTGGCACTGCCACAAGCAATACCTGCACGCGAACGTTTGAGCTTCACCATGAGGCACGGACCAACGATCGTGATGCTGCTGCTCCTGGGCGCATTTCTCCTGGTCGCGCAGCCATCCAGTGCAAGCCGCGGGTCAACTTGGCGCATGAACCGCTCATGGCGCGACGGCAATGAGTACTCACCCCTCGCGGCTCCCTCTCAAGGAAACTCCGGCAGATTCGCAAAGCCAGCGGTGGACGATTCCGCCGTCTACATCGTTCGCCTGAGCACCGCGCCTCCCCTCTGCGAATACCGCGGCGGAATCGCGGGCTACCCCGCCACTGCCACGTGGGACGACGGTAGCGACGACGAGGGCGACGGCGAGGCCGTGCCGCAGATGATTCTCCCCGCCGGCGATTCCGCCGCTGCTGCAGGCGGCGAGTCCGTCGATCTGGACGACATCGACGGCGACCAGCTCTTCCCCAACGCAACTGCGCCCGCAGATGCCGCATCTCACGCCGCCGCCACCCCCAGCGCTCGCGGCGGTCGAGGCGGTAACGGCAACGGTAGCGGCGGTCGTAACGGTGGTGGCAAGGGCAACGGAGGCGGCGGGTTCCCGAGGCACCGGCTGAGTCTGAGCATGGACCGCCCCCAGGTGGCTGCGTTCGCGGGGCTGCTGCAGCGGCAGCAGGCGCAGGTGGCATCTGAGGCGGGCGTACCCGAGGACGGGCTGCTCTACAGCTACAAGCACACGTCCAACGGCTTCGCCGCGCGCCTCACGTCGCGCCAGGCGTGGCAGCTGAAGCGCCACCCCGCCGTGGCGTCTGTGCGCGCCAGCCGCGTGTTCCGCCGGCAGACCAGCGACTCGCCGCAGTTCCTAGGGCTCCCCGGAAAGGTGTGGCCGGCAGTGGGCGGGCAGAGCAAGGCGGGCGAGGGCACGGTGGTGGGGATCGTGGACACGGGTATCTGGCCCGAACACCCGTCCTTCAGCGACAAGGGCCTCTCCTCACAGCTGCCCGCGGGGTGGAAGGGCAAGTGCGAGCAGTCGAGCTCGTTCCGGTGCAACAACAAGGTGATTGGCGCCAAGGCCTTCTATTCCGGCTTCCAGCAGAGCAGCGGCAAGCCCGTGCTGACCAAAGACTGGCTCTCGCCGCGAGATGCGGACGGGCATGGCACGTGGTGCGCGGGGGCAGCCGCGGGGAACCCCGTGAAGGTGCAGGGCGGCGGGCAGGTGAGCGGCATGGCGCCAGCAGCGCGCATTGCGGCGTACAAGGTCTTCTGGACGGACAGCAACGGGGATATGTACGCCACAGAGTCGGATATCATCGCAGCCGTCAATCAGGGCGTGGCGGACGGCGTGGATGTGCTGTCGCTGTCTCTGGGGGCCGTGAATTCCAACGACAACTATTTCAACGATCTCGCTTTCATGCGCGCCAATGCTGCCGGGGTGTTTGTTGCCTTTGCTGCCGGCAACGCCGGGCCTCCCGGTCGTGGTGGGTTCTACCGCACGCTTGACAACTTCGCCCCCTTCTATCTCACGGTTGGCGCCAGCACCATTGCCCGAGGCGGCGCGTCCCTCGCCTCCTCAACTTCCGGCGCTCAGTCGCTCTCTCTTGGTGCCACCATCAGCAGCAATGGCACCGACGGCAGCACAGGCGGCAACTTCAATGGCAACAGCACGGACGGCAGCAGCACCGTTCTGACTGCTGACGGCGGGATCACCTTCACCACTGCATCCTCCTCCGCCCCCGTGGTCGCTGAATTCTCTTCCCGCGGCCCCCTGCTGCAGCCCTCCGCCACGGCCCAGCCCCCCATGCCAGGCAACGCCATCCTCAAGCCCGACATCATCGGCCCGGGAGTGGACCTCATAGCCGCCGCTCCCGGGAAGAGACCCGGGGAGCAAGGCGCTCTCGCCCGCATGTCGGGTACTTCCATGGCCACCCCGCATTTAGCCGGGCTAGCCGCTTTAATCATCCAGAAGCACCCCAACTGGACCCCGGCGCAGGTGATGTCAGCGATGATGACGACGGCGCGGGTGACGGACACGAGCAAGAGCGCGATTAAGAGTGCGACGGGCGGGGAGGCAACCCCGTGGGAGATGGGCGCAGGCCACGTGTTCCCTCCGGCCATGCTCGACCCCGGCCTCACGTACGACGCCCGCGACCGCGACTACCAGAATTTCCTCGCCGGGCAGGACCTGAACCGCGCGAAAAAGGAGTTCCCAGGGGCGGCGCTCTCGCCTCTGGCCGTGCGGAACCTCAACCTGCCCACCATCACTCTGCCTCGCCTGCAGGGCTCCCTGCAGGTCACACGCACCGTCACCAACGTGGGGCAGTCCCAGTCCACATACAGTGTATCTGGGAAGGCCCCGCAGGGGGTGAAGGTGGGTGTGTCGTCTAAGAGCCTCACGCTTGCTCCCGGGCAGAAGGGGACCTACACGCTGACGTTCACTGTGGATACACCCAGTAATGACTTCAAGTATGGGTATATAGTCTGGGCCGACGACCAGGGTCACAACGTGCGATCCCCCCTTGTGGTGCAGCCAATCTCCCGCTGAGGGGGATATATGTGTGAGGCTCTTTCGTGCAACGGAGGAGGGGTTGAGTTGAGCGCCCCTTCTCATTTCAATGGTTATTATTATGGCGCATGGCATGGCAGTGCCACTCCTTGTGGCACAGGGGATGGCAGGGCACGTTGCATGGAACACTGATCAGGAAGGGCTTGGTGTGTGTGTCTTGTGTAGTGTTTGGCTGATTCCTTGTTGTTTGCATTTTATTTATACAAAGTACACACTTCCAATCCAGCCATACAGAAACAGACTACGGTACAAGGACAAAGTTGCACGCAATCACTACCACTCAGCAAGCCAAACCCAATGCATCACTGCTCCGAGAGAGAGAGTCAGGAAGAAACATCAGTTCAACTGCAGGTCAGCACCAGTCGAACTTGAAGCTCCCATGCCTGATGTATGCCCCTCAGAGCAATGGGCTCAGCTGCTACAGCAACTTGCATGAGTGAACCACCTCACGGCACTATCTCAACACAATGCTCACTCCAGACGATGCCTTCTCCTCACAACATCCACCCCTCACATGCCCCAAGCAACAGCTGCCGCCGGTAGTCCGCAGGGTGGAGCGCCTCCCTCCACCTTGCGCACTCTGACACCCCACTGTGATGCAACGGCCAGCCACCAATCATCAATGCTCACAGCATCTACTCCTCACATCACACCCCCCACGCATCAGCCAGCTGCCGCCGCTAGTCCCTGCTTCAGATGCCCGTCCTCTGCCGGGCCCTCCGCTCGGCCGCCATGTGGGCATGGGAGGAAGTATATGCAGGAGAAGGGGGAGAACAGGAGAAGGCAAGTTCAAGCACGTGCTGCTTTACACATGAGGACTCGCTTTTCACTATGTCTAACAGCTGGGGGAGGGGGGGACAAGGAGGGGGAGAAGGGTGGAGGGAAGAGGGAAGAGGGAGGAGGGAGGAGGGATGAGGGAGGAGGGAGGAGGGAGGAGGGATGAGGGAGGAGGGAGGAGGGAGGAGGGAGGAGGGAGGAGGGAGGAGGGAGGAGGGAGGAGGGAGGAGGGAGGAGGGAGGAGGGAGGATGGAGGAGGAAGGAGGGAGGATGGAGGGGGAAGGAGGGAAGAGGGAAGAGGGAAGAGGGAAGAGGGAAGAGAGAAGAGAGAAGAGGGACGAGGGAAGAGGGAAGAGGGAAGAGGGAAGAGGGAAGAGGTAAGAGGGAAGTGGGAAGAGGGAAGAGGGAAGAGGTAAGAGGGAAGAGGGAAGAGGGAAGAGGGAAGAGGGAAGAGGGAAGAGGGATGAGGGAAGAGGGAAGAGGGAAGAGGGAAGAGGGAAGCGGGAAGAGGGACGAGGGATGAGGGAAGAGGGAAGAGGGAAGAGGGAAGAGGGAAGACGCCCTAAATGGGCGGAAGTATGTACCTTGACATCCCAGGCACCAGCCTGAGGCTGATAAAGTGGCTGAAGTCGCAACGCCGTGAGCCACTTCAGTTATTTGCATATCAGTGCACATGCGAACTAGTAGAAAACTAGAACGACGGGCCTGAACATGGATGCTCCCACAGTACCTGGAGGGAGAAGCCCTGCATTTGGGTGTCAAGGAAGTGCAGCTCCACTCCCCGCTTGTGCTGCTCCTCCCACGCCGCCCCTCGCTGTGCCTCGCTCAGCCTACCCACCCATGCGCACGCCATCCCCATGCGAGAGCCATCACCTGTGCCATGCGGTCACGCAATCGTTTCGAGATTAACGCTCGCTGTGTGAGCGCGCCAGGCGATCACGCGATCGTTTCAAATTTTCTATCGCATTGAGAACTGCTGTGGATGTATGACTTGGACGACTCGTTCTAAGCATCTTGCGACTGCCGATGCACGGCTCGCTTCCAGAAGCCGAATACGCAGTAACGAAGCTAGTTGATAATATACGAGTAAATGGATTGTCAGTAATGGCAATTTGTAAGGATTTTTTTTACATTCCTCAGCATCGCGTACAGGACCGACCCTTTCTTCGCCCGTTACCGATAACGCCGCGTTCATGGCAGCGTTATCGGTAACGCACTTGTATGATAACCTCGCATTATGCATGGTTTGGCATTTGTTCGCGTACCCGAACCTCGCTGCAGCATCATACTAGCTAGCTCGCACGCACCGCGTTACCGTTTGCATGCTTCGCTATATATGTTTGCTCATGCCTTCGCTCACATCTTGTACTCGTTTGCCACCTAGTGCAATCCTCGCTACCTCCATAAATTGCACCCGTAACACTTGGTATCAGAGCCACTTTCCTTTCGGACCGCGCATTTCCCCACTCACCAGAACTCAACTTTTGTTTTTTTCACTCGACGGGAATCACGCCCCTTACCGTACTAGGAGCCGCTCTCCTCGCGCTCTCTCACAAGCTCGTGCAGCCACGATTGTACCTAGCACCTAGACCGGCCGACGTCCTTCGACATGGGAGAACGTATTGACCTCGCTAACCGGACGCAGGAGCGCCTGGACGAGTTAACGCGCCAACTGCACGAAAGTTACGAGGAAATCGCGACATTGACGGCAGAACGCGCGTCACTGCAAAATGACATCACCTTGGCGCAGCAAGCACAGGCAGAAACACAAGGAACAACAACACATGGAGCACCCTCCACATCCCGACTCGAGAGCGTGGGACAACCATCAAGCGTTGCAAGTGATGGCGTCGCACGAAACGACGTTCGCGACGACCACGGGACGACACACCCCAAATCGATGAGTTGGCACTCCCTTCACCCATGCCACTCAGGCCGCAGCGTCCGCCATGCTTCAACCCAAGTCAACGGGGTGGTCCGACGGTTCAGGCGTGGATCTTCACGATGAACGTTTTCTTTGACGCAAACTATGTCTCGTCGGACAAGGCGAAAATTCGCTACGTCGTGTTGTTACTGCGAGGACCCGCCATGGATTGGTGGCGCGTCATCGTCACGAAGCCGAGTGACTATGAGACTCTACGGCCACGGGTAGGGCCAATTGGACCCTGGGCACCACCGTATTTCGTTAAGGTAGCCCAGTATTGCATGTGGGACGCGTGGTGCACGGGTCTACGCGGGAGATTCGAGCCAGTCACGGCGTCGATTTCCGCGCGTCAGACGCTCCGCACTTGGCGCCAGCTCGGTTCCGTTCAAGACTACACCAGCGGGTTCCTGGCGTTATGCGAGCAGATGGGATACATGCATGAAGCTGAGCACATCGATCTCTACGTTGGCGATCTAAAACACGAAATTGCGAAAGATATCCTACTTCCCGGCGTCACGGAATTCATCGAAATTCTTGCCAGGGCCGAGAAAATCGGTTTTCTACGCCAACCGAGAACGGGGTCCTACAACAGCGGCAACAACTGGGGACACCGTCCTTGGGGAACCAACGAGCATGCCACGATACGCGCCGTCGCCGCGAATGTCAGAAGTAGTAGTAGAAAGAAAGAATGAAGAAAGGAGAGATTTTCACTAGCAAGCAGTTGAGTACATATAGGAAACCCTAGATTGGGCTGTACTCGCTATAGAGTACCCCACTGCAGGCTAGACAAATACAACATTCTGACACACCCCCATAGCCAAAGTGGGGTGTAATCAGCACAATGAGCAGGTATAGCAGGAGTTCACAATAAGAAGCAAAGCTAGAGGTAATCACAGCGGGCAAGTGAGGAGGAGGAGGGACTGTGAGAGGAGAGAAGATGAGAGACGGCGGCTGAAGCTGCAGACACACGGGCAACAGGAGCTGCTGGCACAGTGGCTACCGGGACAGTGCGCCCCGGACTACTGGAGTAACTGGCTCACGGGCTACGACGAGCTACAGGAGCAACGGACCCTCGGGCGACAGGCGCAGCAGACTCTCTGGGCTACCAGGACAGTGCGCCCCGGACTACAGGTGCTGCGGACTGTTGGTGCAACCCTACGGTTTGCACTCGGCTTGTTGTCCGTGTGCGTGAATGTGTGTGTGTGTATGGAATGGTATGAGGGCATGGGATAATATATATTTCAAGCTTATAATTGTGTGTGAATGTTGAGTCATGATGTCGAGTGTGTGTGTCGAGTCAATAGCGAGTTATCGCTAGACGCGTGTTACGCGGTCGTTTGTGTCTCGCGCGCGGTTTCTATTTTGTCGTGCGCGGTTTCTATTTTGTCCTGTGTCGAACGTTTGGCGTGTCGCAGGTGTGTGCAGCAGACCCATCAAGAACTCAAGGATGAGTTTGTGATGAAGAGCCCGAGCCTTGGTGTCAAGCCTCAAGTGATTTCGAAGCTCGCCAAAAGGGTACACCTCAAGATATTGAAGATAGTTACATTACTTTGTGTAGTGTAACATTTCACTTGGTGTAGGCCCTAGTGAAGGGTAGTTTCGAGACCCTTCGTGGTTGGGGACAGTGTGGCACTGTTCCACATCACTGTACCTCGGCTCTTGGGGTTTGTAGGAGCTGGGAGTCATTCCCAACTCGTAACTCTTCCTATCTTGTGTTCTAAGACTATAGTGGCTGCCATAGTACCGTTCGTTCAAACCGACGCTGTGTCGTCAATTCTTTATCAAATCGTGCAATCTAAATTGATAATTGTAGAAGACGTGAAGACGCTCCAGATCCAATTTGAATCAAGTCATTTGCAGCTGTGAGCAGAACTCTATCAACGTTTGAAGCCGCTGTGCAGAAATCCGTCTGTGCTCTCTATCTTTCGTTTTAGGCACATTCAAGCCTATTGTGACTATAACAAGTGGTATCAGAGCCCCTTGGAGCAGTTTCGACAATGTCTGGACCATAGGAAAGGGGTGGCAGAGGTGCTGGTGGCAGTGGAGAAGCTCAAGCTCAAGGCCAACCCCGTGATTCAGCCATGGCGCCCATGCAACCAAGTCTTGGCCCACCTAGGGATGAGCCTAGGGTGTTTGGGCTTGACAAGTTCAACGGTGACAACTTTGCTGAATGGTCCTTCAAGATGGAGAACATCTTTGACCACTATGACCTGCTGGAGGTGATGGAAGGAACGGAGAAGCGCCCCGAGAACGACCCGGAGAAGAGCCCGTGGGTGCGGAAGAGCGCACAAGGCTATCTCTTACTTGGGCAAGCGTTGGGGAGCAGTCAGATCCGTCACATCAAGCCATTCCAGCGTGAACCAGAGAAAGGACCAAAGGCATGGGCTGCTCTCAAGGGTGTACATGCTCCTGCAACAGCGGCGGTAGCGGTGGTGTTGGAACGGCAAATGGCGGCACTACGAATTGAAGAAAACGAAGCGGTTGAAGAAGGGGTGCAGAAATTCTTCGACTTGTTGACGCGGCTTGAGGGAGCTGATTTGAACTACAGTGAGCTCCAAAAGAAGACCAAGTTGCTGGACTTACTCCCAGAGTCATGGTCCTCGCTCATCATCAACCTTAATCGCGACTTGCCCCGCCTCTCGCTTGAAGACGTGAAGCGAGCTATCCTTCAAGAGGATTTCCGCCGCCGTGAGTTGGCGAGTGCGGATGGCGCTGGCGCAGCGAGCATCGGCCGTGGATATGGTCGAGGAAGAGGCAGAGGACGAGGGGGAGGAAGGTTTGGTGGCAGCAACTTCGGCGGAGGCCGCAGGAGTGGCGGTTACGGCAGCGACGACAAGAGCTACGGACGCGGTCGCGGCCGATTCGACGGCGAGTGTCACTATT